ACGGGCGCCCCTGCTATGAAATTGTCATATCAGTTCTCGTACAAGAAAACCGACACACAATGACAGTACAATAGCACGAAGCTTTTGATAAGCGTGATCGAATTTCAGCTTTACTCTGGAAATGTCCTATGTCGTTGATATTGATTTAGATGGTTCCATTTTGAATCTGGATGTGCACTTCACATAACTTCACATTACAGCAGGTAACCACTCCGAGTGAATAGAAAATGAGAACTTCACTAAGTGAATAGGTTCACTCGTTGCAGGAGGGTCTCTGTGACGAGCCAAATTTGGGTATATCTCCTTAAGTTATCGGTGCCTATATGTGGTGGGATCACAATATCAATTGTTGTTCTAGCTGACTCGAAAACACATGGTTAACCTGGAGCTTTATGCCCAGGTACCGAATAGTTGAGGTGGCTCAAGCAGTGCAAACCACTATCTCCCTCGTTCAATCACGGCGTATTTGTTATCACCCGAGCAGTTGTTCCGCCTATCCACAGATACTCGTTTATGCTTGACGCCTGAGTATTCTCAAGCATCAAAACACTCACAACTCAATTGATCTGATATTTACGATCAGAGTAAGTGATGGTCGTGGCCCTCATTCGCTAAATTGTTCGCCCCAACAAATCAACTGGTAAGCCACATGTTGATTCAAATTAGTAATAAGATCGCAAGCACCAGAAACTATCCAAAATGAATCCTTCGCGGAAAAGATGTGCGACCGAATTCCCGACGTTGCGCTTACTGCTCACACTGACTCTGTGCATGTTGCACCCTATGTCACAGTCTCCACTTGACTGATTTTTAATAATTATATCTTTGTCAGTACTATGGTGGGATGTCAAAACCCATGCGCTATAAATTCGGCTGCATTCCTGGAAAATGCGGAGGACAATTTTGTGGTGGACAACACAGGCATGGTCACATGTCTGCCTCAAGCGAACAAGTCACACGTTGATTTAATGGATTAATACGGTCGCAAGCGCAAGAAACCAGCCAGAAAGGAAACCTTCGCGAGAAAGATGTGCGACCGCATTCCTCACACTGCGCTCACTCCTCACAACAGGTTGACTGGCTTGTAATCAGAACACCGAAGAACTCTGTGGGTTGCAAATGTGGCTGATGTATACTTAGAAAACTTCGAAGTGTAATTTTGGGATGGACAGTACATACACGGTTACTTGTCTGTCGTAAAATGTTAATTTCTCATTCTAATTCTTAAAGCGAATCTTCAAACCTAGCGTTCCTGCTTAAAACCAGCATCGGAGGTGCACAGCGTGGATGACCACCCACACCTGATCAAATACGTATGCCAAATGCGTCGTACGTATTTTTTTATGCGGCGTCAAAATTTTCGAAATTTCTAAACCTTCTGCGTGACCTCCGGACTATGATGGGCTGTGGGTCCAGAGTTCAGGCTGGTCGGAGATACTGGACGCAAAGGCCGCCCGATCTGTTGGTCAGTCGCGTGCGAGAAGTCGTCTTAGCCACACCAGCGTCCAACTGCGAGTGTTTGAGAGGTATGTGTATGGAATTTGATGTGTGACATGGAGGGCGTATTGCAAGCGGCCTAAAAACGAATGACATTTCATGTTAACGATGTGCGCTCTACTTGGTTACAAAATATTGTGTACATCACTCACTTGGGGAAGAATTTGGTTCATAGCGCAAGAAGCAGTTTAGATCTGCTCTGTCCACCACTATACAAGAAGGCGAATGACTGAGGGAATCACTTCGGTATGCATCGGTTGCCACGTGTATGATAGAACATTCTATCTTATCTCAGCAGAATCGGTAGAATCTTCAGCGCTGAGAACCCAAATAATATATATTGTATATACTATATATCATTGTTATATTAAATTTTATCATAGATATATATCATAGTATATTTCACAACTACGGAAAATGACGAATTTCGACTCGTCTACTCTAACTTGCAACTTGCGACCCTTTCAAAAATCGACAGTTGGGTCAAATGAAAGTTAGTTTTTATTCGTCAGTCAAATAAATGCAAACCAGCGACGTCAAAGAAGTGAGTAAAATTGAAATACAGGTGAGCGGATGACCAACCACTATGCAGGGCAAGACGAATCCGATTGCGCGCAACGCCAAACAACTCAATTTTAAATATGAATACTTTATGGCATGTAGACCAACTTATTAGAGTTGTTTTATTGAATGAACCGCATTTTATCATTCAGAACCCATGTTTTTTGCTTTTACATGTTCCGATGATGTGAGTTGCCTCCAAATCATTCCAACTTGTTTTGCGTTTCCCAGGATCCCGTTACCGGAGAGGTTGGAAACGTATTGCTCTTTGAAGACTATTCAATGTAGTCCGGTTGACACCCAAGATGATTGAGGTCTATTGTCGAACCATGGCTCGAATGCCTCACACTTGCTTGATTGCAGGGTGGATCCCTGTTTAGCAGTTCTAATCTGGTATAAAATACGCGGTCCCGGCCATTGCTAGGAACACTCGTTTTCATACAAGTTGGCCTAGCTGTGGATCGCGAATGGGTTTGCAACGGGTTTCTAGTTTACGTTGTTCTGTGGCACGTAGACCAATGAGAAGAGGCAGATGGATCTGAATCACGTTCAACTGTTTCAGAGTTTCACGAACGGGTATCTCGGACGCAGGCGGCTGTTCAGTCGTGCGGTAGATGGTTGTTTCGAATGGATTCATTGGGCAGGCTTTCCGTCCAAAAAGGATGTCCGCAGCGAACAAGACAAACCGAACGTCCTGAGGCCGAACATGCTCGTGTTTGGACTAGATTGATAGTGAATAATTGGAGTGAAGCAATTTTTTAACTCAGGTGATTTTATTGGTTGTTTATAATGTGGCGGTTGATCCGTTCGCCCAGCTTGCCGAATACCTAGCAAGCGTTTCGTCATGCGAGTACACATGATCATTGCGAATTCAGTTGGGTTCAGATCAACAGCCACCTGATCAACAGCCAATTAGAATGGCCGAACTCCTCGTTCTGACCAGTGTGCCTCATCGAATTTCACTAAAATTAGTTTGATTGATTTGAGTTACCTTAGACAAATAGGTTAGTTTCTTGGGGACTATAGCGGCACATCTTATCAAAGTGCGTTTTAGGTGATTTTTTTCAGAATGAAACCAACTGTCATGGAGCGAACCACTAGTCAGCATGCTCGTTCCAGTGATTAGAGGGTGTTCGTACACCTTTTGTGAAGTTTACTTATTCAGTTCGTGAACAATAAATGTATGAAAATACGTTTTCAACAATATGAGTGCCGCGAGTACGAGAGACTAAACAACTTATCTCAGTGCGATACACGTTTTGCCTTTTCAAAGGGTAATAACCGAGTGTCCAATCAGTCGGTGCGGCATAGTATTAACTTCTCCAGGGAAAACGAAATTGCTGTGTAGACTGTTTTATTCCGCTAATTTGGTGAAGTTCAGTTTGATGTTTGATGTAAGTCTGACGAAGTTGAAACTCGCAGGCCGGGCCTTCCTGGGGTGCCAGAAAAAGTAAGAGAGTTCGTGGACTCTCTTGTAGTTTTCAGCAAACATATGTGTAATTTGTTATGTCTATGAAATATATTGTGATTATGGTGAAAATTTGCAGCACGGCAAGCTGAGGAGTATTCTAATTTTTATACGGGTGAGTCTCGTTTGCCAACTGCTGGCAATTTGGTTTTCACTAAAAATAATTTTGACTGAATAAGGCTCGGATAATGCGTCTAAGAGATGAGCCCCAATGGGGGCGCAGAAGCCTACGGCTGATTAATATCCTTCTATGGCATCGTGGTCGATGTGTTGCTTAAAAACCGAACTCTTCTTGCCCTAAAGGGGCCTGTGGAATACAACGGTATCCAATTTTGGTATGATCAGATTAAGATTAGAACTATGGGTCTCAGCTAAACCCAAGCGTTCGCGCGAATGATTACATTGAATCCAATCCGTGTTCAGATCTGCTTTAGTTTCCGTGAAAAAATTCAGGTTCCCACATTATTTTGTGCCGCGTCAAAACATTCAGAATTGCGTACATTAGAATGCCTTGTCATATTCATAGCAAGGTCTATGTAAGTGGTCTAGCAATTTGTAGACGTAAGCTCACTTGCGTGCACATTCGATCTTCGTAGCAGCCTTCAGCGTCAACGGGCAACCACGGAATTTGGGGTGTGGCTGAACAATGTTATGGAATCTCTCCGGAAAATCGGCTCTGAACCGAACATTCAAATTATCCTTGAGCAGTTCACCCCCATACTCACAGTGGACTTCTAGCTTGAGAATAACTGGGCCGGGAAGAACGTCGTAGATTGCATCATCTTCCTTATGATAAATCAGATGAGGTTCATTGCCGTCGGGCCGAGTGGCTCCCCACTTGAATATGTCGGGTCCTGACGTGAATTCTGGCGTTCTAGGATCGAAATCTCGCCATTCAACGACTGATTCGGACTCCGGTATTCCCAACAATCCATGCATTTCGCTCCAAACTCTAGAGTTAGGTTGTAGATTCACCTTGGCTAAATTCACATTCCTTCCGTGGAGGAACACAAGTTGATTACGTTGTTCACCATAGTTGGAACAAAAGGTGCATGCTTCGCAGAACCGGTTCGTTTCATTGAGTTGAATCGTACACAGGTTCGCCGACAACTGCGTGTAGTCCGGTGGACAGTCGCCTTTGGTTACGGCGTGTAATAACACAAGAATAATGTGGATTCTGCGGAGCATGCCGTCCCCGTAGTCCGGCTGGTCGGTAATCACGGTGTTTATACGAGATCCATATGAGTTTGGTGAGGCCATCCTATGAGAATTCCCCCGAGGTGTTCTTTGATTGGTCCGATTTGCGAGAACTTGTTTCTGTGTGGTTGCTGGCTAAATTGCTTCTTTTTTCTTTGGTCTTCGTTTGTTATCTTGTCTTCCGAGTGTGTGGCTTTATTCTGCTTGTCGTTCTTATTTGTTTTTTTGCATGTCGTTATTTGGCCATTTTTTATTGCCTATTTTTTTGGACATTTCAGTGTCACCTCGCGATTGTCACACTCGTCGTGTTATGAGTAGCGTGACACCCATCATTGTCGACAACATAACTGCACTCTGGACCGTCCCTGCGGCTAAACGCAGAGTAAGTCCTACTATTGCGTAAATCGCTTCCTTGTGCTAGGACTCTCGCAAACTGAGCCAGTCTCACAATCGAAAGTCTAATTGGTGATATTTTTTGACCTAACATTCTATATATTACCATTAGTATCTCCCATCTCTTTCGTACATTTGAGTTACGGCATGCGTCTACTCTATAGAAGTAGCCCTTGTCCACAGCTCCGCAGAGAACTCTCAAAATGTCCTAGCCTGGTGTCATCCTTTCGTGGGTCATGAGGTAGGTGTTCTTGTTTTCATCACTCATCTCTATATTAATGCGGCATTTATGTCGGTATACTGTAACAGTTTGGTTGCCCCGTTGCTCATTTTGGGTTTTCGTCACTGTCTAAGTTGGGCTTGTTCGCCAGTAACTGCTGTTAATATTTCATTGCGCGTATATCTTGGTTGCGATTTCGGGCTACGTCCATATAGATTCGGGTATCCGTTATGTCGGATGAATAGATGTAAGCCCGCAACCCGATCTGACTTGTGACCCTACCTGCTGCATTACGTGCTCAATTATGACACTTCCTCACTTGGCGAACCCTCTGAATATTTTCTGTGCACCTTCTATGTTGACAATTTACACTGTCTTACAGCACGCGCCTGAGACATGCCGCCTGACTGACTAGTTGTCGGTTCTCAACGATTACGCTATTACTGATTCTAGCCTTTGCTAAATTCGCGGTCTTCATTAACCATAGCACAAGTTCTAGAGGATTCATAGTGCCGCTTCGGGTGCCCTCGTTTGGCTGCTCACATAGTCAACCGAATACTAAATGCGTGGAGTCCGATGGATAAAATCGCCCGATTAATTCCCTAGCTGCCTGCTTTTGATGGCTTTCCACATGGTTTTCCAAATAACGGAACATGCCATCGTCCCGAATTCTCGATTGCGCGTCCGAAATACATCCACTTTGGGATGGTCGAACCTGTAGCAGCTTGAGACAACGTACAACTGGTAATTTGTTTATATGAAGCGGACTGTACCGAATCGTACTCTAATCCAAATTTAGGCAAATAGGTGATTGAAATAGTGCTCAGTATTTAGAAGGGACATGCCGGAAATGACTTACAAGCAAATGAGCCAGGACACTGAGAAGATTTAATCAACCAGCTTTACAGTAGTCTTCTCGCCAGGGTACCACTTCTTATTGACTGAAAGTATATTACCATAGAGGAGATCGTCGGCAGCTTAGGTAGCGTAGATTGTCGCTGAGCTGGATAATTTGATTGCAAGCGGTCCACCACCAATCAGGGTGACATCATCACCGCGTAATTGTGCGTAGCAGGGGAGTTAGTGTTTGTGCGTTCAGTAGTGTTACGTGTGTGTTGATGTATACGCTGGTAGCCTGGTATGAACTTTGACCGCGATTAGGTATTCAGTCGGCGGGTTTCAGTGGTTGCTCTTTTGTCCCGTTTACTAATTCGCCGTTGCCCACGTGACCTGCGGTCTTGGCATTCCTCGCCGTCGTTGTCTAGTCGGTGTTGGAGTGACATTTGTCCTTCCGTGTTCCGGCTTGTGACCGTCATTCATTTGAATCCCAGGAACTTCTTGTTTTTTCGTTTCTGAATCTATTATTTGGCACAGCGCAGCGAACAAGCCAACGAACATATATTATCATCACAAAATCCGCAAAGTATGGCTCAAGCCTGAATGTAACTAGATTTCGATAACTCCATTGAAAACTCGCAATGAGGATCACATTAGCTTTCTCCGTTAGGAATGTTGCTATTGAGGTCGTTTACTTGGAAAATGAGAAGGTACAGTCCATATTTAAGGAGGCTCTCAAGCATGCAAAAAAGGGCGCGTCTTACGTTTCGCTCGATGAAATTTCGTACACCATCCCTTGATAGATAAGACGTCAGTTCATTCTGGGTGCTTGGATGATAATTATTCGGCATTTTGATATTGAATATCGAGAAAACTAATGTAAACATGCAACTTTAGGCCTCAGGGGAGTTCAGATATCTTTTTCCACGATGTCGATCAAGAAGATTGTTTGCTGATTTGAGCAAAAAGTGGTACAAAATCACTTGCATGTAAATTCTAAAGGGCTACCAGAGATTAGATTAGATTAGATTAGATTATTTTTATTCTGTTGCTCCACTGGTTCGTGTTTAAATTATCCGGGGATGCGTCCCAAAGAACAGACTTAACGAAACAAGCTTGCCAAAACTGCGTTGCTCTTGCAAATGGAGCCAGAGTTTCGAGAAAAACGCCCAGTACGTTTGATGAAGTAAAAGAATACGGCTGGCTGAAAGGTTGCGTGACGCGACACTTTAATTTTTCCACCCCATTTCGAAATACTTGAACCGACCCTATCTTCTGATCTATACCGTCGGGGATATAATGCTCCAAACTCTGGGGCAGGTGTGTGCGCCAAGTTATAAGAACGCAGTTCCCCGGGTTGGGGTCTGTGTGACTTGTATTCAAACGAGGCGGAACCAATGGTGCTCCCGCATGGCTATAGGCATCCCAACCCACTGAACCAATACGATGTATTCCACGTGGTCCACGCAGCGAGTACCGTGATTCCAGATTAGATTGGGGTGAAGAAACACACAGGTGTGGCTTCGGAGATTCACTAATTATTCTCTGGCTCATTTCACATGTGAGCACAATTGGGAGATGAAAGTAAACCATTTTAATTTATAAGTGTCTATTTGAAGCTCTGCAGGTCTGGATACATCATTCACTCGCGGTGATATTACCCACTGGAACGATCCACTGTAAATCTATTGTAAATCTACTAGAATATCGATAGGCGTACCAGGAATTTCCCAACCGGATAATGGATCTCAGTACAGCAAATTTGACAGAAACTCTGGCAAACCCCTTTGCAACTGGAGAAAAAGTAATCCCTATCCAAACTGAATGTGGGCAATTTGAATTACACTCGTTTTCCTTGATTTCAGAAAAATCATGGAATCTTTGTTTCTCTAGTCTGTCTCTGTGTGGTTTAATGCAAACGAGGGAGTAACGATGGTGCCTTAGCATGGCTTCATGCGTTCTAGCAACTAAAATCCTGTATTTACTCCAGCGTAAACCGCTGAACGAGTACAATTGTTTCATGCTATTTTGAAGTATAAGAGTGTGCAATTTTCGTTTTTTCATTTGCTTCATGTAACCAATCAGCGATGAAACAAGGCGATTTCATTTTGCAGAGATTGGGATGGGCTGCTTTCCGCCCAGACCAGAAGGCACTCGCCTCACACAATGTGCAGGTGAAGATTACTTGAAGCATGACTGCGATAACCAGATGTAGCATCTCCGTATAAATCGGCATGTTCTCTCGAACCTGGGACATGTGTCAATGCTGCTCCTAACAAATTTATCCGGTTCCTGAAACGATGCTCAACTTGCGAGCCATCAAACTTCCTTGATGGTTTATCGTACTTCTGTTGTGATTAAGCTCTCTGAAAATGTTTTCATTAAAAATCACACCTTCTTGAGAAGGGTTCCATACAGGCGGGTCAAAAGGTGGAATTTTTCATGCTTCTGGGGCTTATAACCATATGCGTTTCGGAGAATGCCAGTCGGTGTAGCGAGTGTAGTAGGTTATGGTGACTTGATACGTGCTCACGTACTTAAACGAACGTATGTCCTGACTTGTAGGAAGACGAAGATGAACATTATCTAAATCAACAGCATTTTCCTGCCTTAGAGCACACTGATTGTCCTAAGTTAGCTAAGGAATAGGATATAAATCTAACCGTCCAAGTCAGACCTCCTGGGTTTCAAATTTTGACCGACGTCTAAGCGGTCAAATATATGGCAAACGTCACCCGTTCCGAAGGTTATAATCTCCTAGCATGATATTCTGTATGGGTAAACCTGTTTACTCTCAACATTTACCCGGACACTCCCAATGCCGGCTTCTAGGTGCATGGGTTCGTTTCAAACGTGCAAGAACGATTTCAAAATCTGTCGTGAACGCGGTTGTGGTCACTGTTCGGCCTAGCATACCTCTGTCTACGTTACACGTAACCAAGACGCCAGATTAGGGACATTCTCGTCACATGCTCGCTCTGCTAATGAACACTTTTTTTGCTATTGGAAGGCGTGCGACTTCGTCGCAACGATCTGCGAACGGAAACACGATTTAATCAGAGCCCGATTTGGGTTTTTTTTCAGATCAGTGGTTTCTTGCATTCGTATATCCAAAAAGGAAAACTCCGGGAGGAAATTCGACAAATCATAAAGGATACCAATGTATTTATTGCTTTCTCGTTATAACACACAAGCCAGTCCAACTTTCTGTTCATCGTTCCCTTCGGTTAGGGTTGCGCAATTTCTCGAGCAAACAGGCGTTGCTTCTAGTAAGCCTACTTCATACAACCAAAGAGATAGCGATCAAGGGAACGACTGAACGATATATTGTGTAGAGCTATGGCGATTCCGCTGCAAAAAGAGCTGTCGTTAGCGACGGTAGAAGCTGCGGAATTGCTGTTTTTTCAGAACAGTCTCAATGGAAGCTGNCCGTGGGTGGTCTCAGTCTATCGTTCATGCATAGGTTGTCGATACCTTGAATTCCTCGCTAAAATGAACAGCACAAATATATCGTCCATCCGTCGGGTTCTGACGACTCTTTGGCTGTTCTAACTAAAGAACTTCCTCTGTTATCACGTCAGAACCAAGTAAGTCGTCATGTTGGAGACACCAGCCTTTGTGTTCACCACAGTATTTTCCATTACTTCACCATCTGCTGGCAAGTAGTCCACTTTTCTGTAAACATCCGCAAGTTCAAAGTGTGAGAACAGCTCTATACCAATCCCTAGGCAAATTTTCTTTCGTCCAGGATTTGTTTAAATAACCGAAGCTCTTTCGTTACATACACACACGCCCTCAACAAGCGCTGATGCGACATTCCAGACTCCGCCGAATCATCATCATCATTGTCATCATCGCCATCATCATCGCCTTCACCATCATTATCATTATCTTCTTCATCATCGGAATCAATACAAATGACCATTATCACCCATTAGTGGTGTCAGTCAAAAGCCATCACGAAACTTGTTAGGATTGCGTCGGTGTTCATCACATGTTTTTCTCTCTTACAATCATGGCTTCGGCTACTCAAATAGAGGATTGCCCGTTCATTCACTTCACTGACCGACATGGTAAGCTACTGCACACTACACTAATGCACTGCATAGTTCTAAGGAATAATATTACCGTATCACTCTTGACCTGTCAGGGTCACTTCAGTAGTTCTAGTAACTCCTCGTATCCACTTGAATTATTCGCACCGAATAGATAGTGATCGCATATACCATGAGAATCTTTTGTTTTTGTTGAAGCCTTCTATGATGCTCCATTACTGATTATAGTCTTGCATCCATGCACACTACGTGTTGACTCCCCCAGTGAATCAACGGTGAACCAGGGTAACTTTCCTTGTTTTCTGACTACTCTTGAGTAACATGACTTACACCTGTTTATTATGACATCGTTCCGTTTTCTTGACGCTCGCTTTCACCCGTTTTGTTCCTACCTGATGTCTGCTTATCCCTCAGTAATTGATGTCAATATTTTGTTGCCCGTCTGTCATTGCCTGCAAGTTCGTCTCGATTGCACCTGTTTTGAGCGACCCCTCCAATTGGAAAAGCGGGCCAACCGGGTATCGAACCCGGATCCTCCGGATGGCAGGCGAACGCGCTACCAACTACACCGACCTGACGCCCCGAGTGGCTGATCATTTTGTATTACCCATGTACCGCGCCTGTCAGGTAGCCCTTGCTGAGCTTTGTTTTAAACGGACGAAACCGCACAATCTAACCTGTCACGTGACACGAGCAGCCGCGTTGACGCCGACTGAAAGACGGTCCCTCACATCTTGTACGTTTTCTTAATTCATGATGCTTACTAATTCGTTTTTCTGTAGAACCAGTTCCTGTCAGTCTTCAATATATCATCTACTGCCCCACATCTGTCTGCTCCTATTGACTACTGGCTACGAACTGCGTATAATCTAATAGTCGCAATCGTCCTGTGAGATCCTTAGCCGTCCGGATCTTACAAAGTTAATCAACAATATCGCAGTTAATCAGGGTTATCGCAGCTAATCAACAGTCGCAGAGTTAACCAACACTCGCTCAGTTAATCAGCAACGCAATTCAACCGACGTTTTCCAATGTCTGAGGAACGTTCCGGCTACTTACCTCCACTCGATCACTTTCCCCCGTCGGCCGAGCGAGAACTCCCTATCGATCTGAAAGACAGAGCTGCATGGCTAGAAATGGAGATGGCCAAATCCTCAGGAATAACCGAGAGCCCAGTTTCGTCGATCAGATTGCTTATGTTCTAGACAGAGCAGATGCGTTGTCAGTTAGAGGGTCGTATTTGCCGAATGTTTTCAGCCAAACACCAGTAGGTCAGAACGCCCCCGTAGCTTTGTGGCGGCACCATCGCCAACGCTATCCACACTTGTGACGACGTCCGCGGCTAATAAGCCTGGAACTGGAGGACATAGCCGGACGATGTACCGTCCGTTCCTGCACTGTGGCAAACTGCACTATCTCGATGAATGCTCGCAATTCCTTTGCTTGGACGCTGATTCCCGTGCATCGTTCATCCGCTCAACTGCATTTTGCGAGCTTTGCCTCAAGTTAAGACATAACGCGAAATAGTGCCGCTCGAGGCGATGTTGCGGACTTAATGGCTGCGAAGGTCTACACCACCCATAGTTCCATCCGCCCACTCAAGCTTCAGCTAAGTCATTGGGGCCAACATGCCAGAAAGAATGCCTTTCAGACCTCAGCGTCAACTGTGACAGCGGACGAAACCGCGAAATCTGACCTGTTACGTTACAGATCCCGCAAATCGCTTAGCCTTCTTGATCGATGCATGTGAATGTGAAGCACGAGAATCAGTCGACTACTGTACAGTACTTGAGCCGGAACAACGCTACTAAAAAGCGTCGGTGACTACTTCCCGCTCCTGCTGATTGCGTCATTGTTGATTGTACGTTTGCTTGGCTCATGATACTTACTAACTTACTTACTTACTTACTACTTACTAACTAACTTACTCACTTACTAGAACCAGTTCCTGTCAATCTTCAATATATCGTCTGCTGCTACACGTCTGTCTGCTCCTATTGACTACTGGCTTCGAGCTGCGTATAATTTACTAGGTGCAATCGTCCTGTGAGATCCACATCCGCCCGGATCTTACACTAAGTTTGAGGTGAATTGCGCCTCTGTCTCCCAGTCTTCCACTTGGCGTAGCAACATTGTTGACCCTATTCCTTTGCCATGATCTGAATGCCCTCAGTTTCCCTCAGATTTGTTGTGCATGGTGCTCAGCAAATACAGCTATACATGACTTGGCGCACGCCAAAGCTTCCTTCTACCGACGAGTGTGTTCGCCTTGGTAGACATCCGTTATGGTCATCTGATTTTAGACGGAGGGCACACGATTCCTTATGATCTGATTTTGATTTAAATATGTCGCCTCGTAGAATTGGCCGCTGCATTAAATACCTGGCAGGATATACTGGCCGAAACTCAGTTTATAATGATTTAACTGAGCCAAGTATCCCGACGGGGAGCAGACAAGCGAAAACCAACTAGCCGCACCTTTGAAGACAGTCACAATACGAGGCGGCCAGTAGGCACAATTCACTGTCCTGTGCGATAGGATAGTAAAGTCCGCATTGCGCTTCATTCCATTCCATATTCATGGATGCATGGGTGCTACCTTCTTCTGCGCTCTAATAACCACAATCTCGGATCACCGAACAGTTTACTGTGAACACCAGCGCAGTGCTCAATACGGTCGAAATAATTGTAAAGCCAGAGCCCGGCACAGGTCAAAAGTCACGTGTTTTGGGAAGCTGCAGCAGGATTGAGATTTATTCTCGGCGTTCTGGGGAGAACCTGGCTTCCTGAGCATAAGCGAGTCAGATGATGGATTCGCTTGCCTTGAGAGATGAGACTCTAGAGACCGCTGTCCTCAGGGCAAAGTTTTCATTCGAAGGCTATTGACTGGGTACACAAATGGGACCGCCGTCCTCCTACAGCATTGGGTCGGAGATTCATGATGGGCATTTCAGCTCACTCGTCTGCTTTGATCTGGACAACCGCAGAGTATCGTTCATTCTTACAGCACTTCGCCGACAGACCGTCCGTTTTATTGAACGACGCAGAGCAATCACCGAGTATAGCAGTTATCTTTGCCCAGTGAATTTGCATGGCTTAATCAGAAACAACGCGGTTTATTGAGGGCTCCTCTGTGATCTTTGTCATGACCGCACAGGCCACGATGGACTGCATATGTGTGCCTGCAAGAATGGGTTTCATCAAAATCTGTTGGGACGGATTCGGTTGGTAAGAAGGACGGATAAATTAATATCTGCGTGTAATGTAAACAAATAACTTGGAAAAGACTAGTATATATGAAGCTGAGCGCCGTACATCCGGAGTCCATATTCGGCAGGAAATTCTATCATGGACGCTCACATTCAGTTATTATGAATTCACTCATGTTTACATGTTCCAACTGAAATCATGAATGTTTTGCCGTCAGTTACCTGCGAGGCGTAGCAAATGACGAATTACGCTTCGAGGCTGAATAGAAGACAGTTAAATAAACCATGTTGTCAGCGCTGAGCAGCTTTTGTTCAAGCCACCTGACTCTATGAAATCAACGGTAAACCAAATCAAGGTCTGAATGCCCGGCGGCTGCGAAAAACGCTAAGCAGTGAAAAGTGACTGTGATGACGCCCGAAACCCCTCAAACACCAGATAATCAGGAACTCGGAGAATGACGAATGACGCTCGAGATTCAGTAGGACCAGTATTTGAAGAACGCTTTTTATACAGGCAAGAATAATCGATCAAAATAGGATTTTCAGTAAAACAATCTGAAAAAGACGAACCGGCAGTTCGTACTCTTGATCGTTGTTTGGGCTGAGCGCCTTACAGTACAGGTCGGCTCCTCTCAACATGACCGTTGGACCTCACTGAATACTGGTAGCGACCGATCAGCAATAATGGTTCCATGTGAGCTTATATTTCTCCTGCGCGACATGTTAACTTATTTGGATGGTCTATACCTCGTATTCTTCAGTGAAGGTGTTCAGCGGCTAGCGAACAGCTGGACATATAGAATGCACAAACATTGGAGCAACAGCTGATTACTAGCCAACTGTCATTAGGTTTTTAAGAGGAAAAACGTTTGTCGTGGGAAATGTATAGTGGCATAAGTCCGGTATCCGTCGCATCTGATACTGAAAAAGGGCTGTTGTTTTCTTTAATTGATCGGGCTGCACTCCTCCAGCCCAACTCAATCGGTGGCATCATGTGGACTGGGACCCGCTGTGAACAAGAGAGAGCATTGAATGTCACTGGTGAGGCCAGCAAGCCGCACTGGATAAGGCCCCATTAAGGCTGAATGGACTTCCGCAGAATTCGAGTTTACGTAAGCAATCTACGCGGAAGATGGTTTAACGCGTGTCCTCTTGTGCGGTAATAGATGATGTAGTTTGCTCCATCCTGACGAGTCGCAGTATTAGAGGATATGATTGGTTGTGCTTCAAGCAGGTAAAACAGAGATATCCTTCCCTTCATGCTCTAACCTACGGGATAGCCTTCGCTGTCACCAACGTATAACGTGTGGCGAGCCATACGTATTAGAATACTCAAGACGTTTGACGCAACGACATTATTGTGCGCAAGAAAAAATTCCACACTCCCATGTAGGTGATCAGTGCCGCTACTGGATGTGTGAATAACGCCAGAGGCTGCCTTCTTGTAAGGAATAGAGGCTGTCCAGGGACAGCTCTCAAAGAACTCATTTCGTCGGTTACTGCTGAAGTTCCCTGGTCGGCCACTTCAGTTTCGGTAATTTTCTAGATGCAAAATTAACTTCGGGTTTCTGTTGCTAATCAAATTTTTTATTGATTTTTTTATTCTATGGAAAACTTCCGCTAAAAAACCGATGGGTAATAGCTGGACATTCCAGGATTTACGCTGCTAGCCTCAGTGGAATTTGGCGAGCACCAACATGAGAGTATATGAAGAGGACCAGAAATAGGATTCGCCGGTAAAACAGATTGGACTGAAGGAGTGTGAAAATCGTTATTAACAGGGAGAAATTTCATTATTGGTAGGCAGCGTTATTGGTGAACTTGCTGCTGAGGTTATACACCTCCAAATCAGGAAAGAATTTGTCCAGGGTCCACGGTGTATAAATCAAGTTAGTTACTGTGATAGACTATTCGTAAACACCCGAATGAGTGTAGCACGAGGTCGCAAGCCCAGATATTCGAGGTCATCTTATCTACCAATGAAATCCGGTACAACAAGCACATCGTGCGTAAATGATAAAAATACAAGCCGCAAACCATGATTTCTGCAAATAACTGTTGCACTAGTTTATGCAAGCTCAAATACAGTGTGGAAAGAATGGCAGAGTGATTTTAGTTAACGAGATCATCTGTTACCTCAGCTGTTCAAAGTGTTTTGGTAAAGTGTCCCAAAGGTGTCAGGCCTGACAGGTCTATAAATGTTGCTGCGCCCACAAAAATGTTCTTACGAGGTATCCCTTCTTAGGGTAAATGCATCCCGTGGATTGCAACCTGACCAAGAGTTTGAGTGAAACCGTTTAAAAAGCTGTTGGAGTAGTCGAAGGAAGTGGTTTTCTTGTATACCAATCCGCAAATTTGTTAAATTTGGGAAATTTATATATTTCGTAAAACTATACCCACTGAAGATTTACCAGTTACTGGTCATCCGAACTGATTTTCAATCTGCCAGAACAAGTGGAATGCCCAGATTGAATCTCAGAATTGTGAGACATCGTAGAACGCGATGGTGGCAGGATGTTCTGCAAGTACCTCAGACCAGTGTGTGACGAAATGTCCCGGGATGACAACTATCGTGCCACGTGTTTTAATGGATTCATCAATGATCAACATACAGAAACTGAGATAAGTGTACCGCAGGAAGAGCATTTCGCGGGAAGATTTTCAGGAATTCTTCCCCTTGAATGCGTCGTCGATGAAAAGCTGCTGCAAATGCAAGCGAAACACGAAAAAATTAGACAGAATTCGCCGGTTTCTAATTTGTTGGTGTTATTTGAAACACATTTGAAAATTGAATAAACATCCTTTCGTTATGCTTTGGTTGTTCCGCCGAAAACACTCATATTCGTACTGAATATCTAGCTATACGTTTACTAAAACATGTCATCTGGAAATGAGGTTGAGGGTGTTTAGTAAATTCAAAGAACCCCGACATTCTAGGAGTTTTGAGGCTCCTGGTTGCCGTTGTTGGTCACATATTTCGCCATGGGAAATAACGTGGACACGTCAAGGATCAGTTTTGCTGAGCCACATTAACCCAGTTTATGGAATTCACTGAATTTACTGACCGGAATGTCCGTGGTTCGAACCCAACTTCCGCCACTCGACTTCCCCTGTCTAGGCTTGGGCAACCTGGCAGTATTCAAGCCCTCGTGCTTCATTTGGGTAGCATGGCATTTAGGCACCGAAAGGGTACTGAGCGATTTATTTTATTTTTTATGGAAGGAAAGAGTCGTCAACATTAGTACATATTTAGTAATGTAATTCCACATGGTTCAAACAGAATAAAATGTGCTGCTTCATGATTACATGCGGCGAAAGACAAACAATAATCCCCCAAATGAACTAATCGACTCATTGAACGATTTCGTTTATTTCGCAGCTGCATATTCCCTGACATAACGTCGACGGAGTAACCCAGTTTCTGGATAAAAATTTAAAGACAAAATCCGACTCCTAACCATTTTTCGGAGTAAACTAGATGATCACTTTGACAACAATAGGTTCCGATTGCACGGCCGCTTCACTGGTAAAGTCACGTGTATGGCGAATTAGAAAACAATGTTGCTGTTACGGTTCTATTTACCTAGATTCGGTTTTGTGGTTAAATCTCTCCGTGAGTAGTCAGTCCACGACATTGCAGGCAAACTCCTATAGGTCTGTTCAGGTTCTTTAGTAAACGGCGCGCCTCGAAATCGGTTTGAAACAAATGTCAAGTCAAAGGTTCCCTTCATTTGGTTAAGCCAATTTATTCTTCGAAAATTCCTGGACTGATTTTCTAATCCTATCCTTAGAGTGGATCCTGTGCTCCCTTCCCCTCAAATGACATGCAAGCGGTCTCGATAACGAAAAATCCTTGTGATGCGTGCTCCGCATTAGTTCTGTTTACGTAAATCATTCAGTCAAAGTCTCACCTAGCCTCCTTAAATATGGAGTAGACTTGAAAATGATCGCACGCCTGGAGGCTTTGACCCACGTAGGAAATGAATATTATAAACAGTTGATTGAAAGTATCGTTACAAATCAGGGTACTCACCCTGCAAGCCTCGCCAGGCGGTTGGTTTGTGTGAAGACATTTTCGCTCTGTTTAAGCCGTGAGCGACTGTGATTATTAGCAAAACCGTGGTAAAAATGACGTTTATTTGTTTGTGAAACAAATATGTTCGACGGAAGATTTTATTTCGTGTCCTTTCAGAGAAGGTGAACAGCTGTTAAACTGTGGTACAGCAACTGAGTTAGGAGGCTCATAGATGAATCCACGCTGCCCTGCTTGGCTTAATGCGAACTAGGCAACTTGGAATAGTCGATTGCGAATGAACTTGCTAGCTCCGAAAACATATTTCATTGAGAAAAACTCCATTTATTTATTTATTTATGTTTCAATTTTCTTGCAAAGCGGATACTTTGTAAACGTCGTGCGGGAACGTGCCCGAAGATCAAGCGTCATTATCCAACTATTACGTTTAATAATATAAAATAATATACAATAATAGTAATGATAATAATAATGATATAGTAATCCAAAGTAATTTTTTTCGGATTTTGGCAGATGTAAGATGGCTTCTTTTCAGTCTCTCTGAGGTTTCTAAAATTTCCGTGTTGGATCCGAGTGACGTGTCACCATTCAAGCTTTACCTATTGTTGATTTGAATAGCTTTTCATGAATAGCCTTTCATTTATTAGGAAACGCCGGCAGGCTAAATTTCTTCAGACCTCTCCTCATTATATTTTGTTACGTTGCTCGTAACTGCGAGCATAAGTGGAATGCGCTCAAATTCTACACACTCCAACGGTAGCGCATTCACTCCGACCTTCCTCAGTGCTCAGGGTTTAGAGTCGGGAATCTTGCATACGTTGCTTTCAATTATTTCATAGTAAGGATTCTTGGCCCGATTTGACAACATTTCATTTTATGGTCTGGCCGAGACAATGTGCAGATACCTGTGCGCCCACAATGAGGTGGCGCGCAGACCACGGGTGTCTCCTTCTCTGAACATCATTGCTGAAATACTAGCTATCCACCAAGCATGACTGGTCGTTGGCTTGTTCGCTGAGCTGGACAATTCGATTGCAAAAGTTTTTCCAGGTGTCGAGGTGGCGCAACCAACAACCTTCTGCGTAGCACTAAGCTTTTATAATGATGATGATAACTGATGACGTCATTTCCACTGATAATGAAACGATGGCAAACAAAACGCCCGGAAAAGCGATCAAGCAAATGACCACGTACGTTGCCTGAGCTACCAACATTATCCTCTTTAG